GAGAGAGAGAGAGAGAGAGAGAGAGAGAGAGAGAGAGAGAGAGAGAGAATATAATATAATTCAAATTTAAAAGGTGGGGCAAACCTATGCTCCCAGCACACACACACACACACACACACACACACACACACACACACACACACACAAACAGCATTCTTAGTAACAAGAGTAAAACTTGTATAAATATTTTTGAATTTGATAAGTAAAAAAATATACATCATCTTAACTGGGATATATTTCATGCTAAGGATGAGTGTTTTCATGTGTGTAGTTACTATTTGTAGAGAACTGAAGCCTTTCAACTGGATCTGAAGTTGGTATATTGAACTATACCTTGTATTTTATAGCATGCTCCTTTTCTAAGTACTCTACTGTCTTTAATCCCTCTGGAGCCTCATGCTAGCTCTACGGAGGGGAAAGAGCCTCTGCTTACACAATGAGCCTACAGTTTTCCACCAAGTGAGGCACTCTGTTTGCTCAGTGGCTAAGAAGCTTTGAACTTAGGGCAGTGTGGCCTGGAATTCTATCCTGGTTGCTTCCTGGACAAGTTATTCAACTCTGGACAACCTCATATTTCTTCAGTCATTAAGTGGGGGTGGGGTTATGACCCCATGGGCTTGTTGGGAATCACAGTATAAGTCCTTGGCAGATGCTAACTATATTACGCCTTAAGTCCTACCATGGTTAGATCTGATAATAATGTTGTGGCAGAACTCCAATAATTCATAATTATCTGCCAACTCCTGGCCCTTTTGATTTTCAAGCAGTTTATCAAGTTGAGCAGAAAGAAGAGGTTGAGGATGAGGGCTCTGAGTATGAAGGCGTAAGTCACAAACAATCCCACACCAGTTTGGAATTGTGATTAATAGAATGGTTATTTATTCAAAGGGGGAAAAACTTACAGATTACCGTTCCAGACAACAGCCCCTCTGTGCGAACAGGAAAGGAGTCTAGGAGCCGGAAGCGGAGCCGGAAGCCAGAGAGAGAGAGTGGAGGACAGCCACTGCTTTTTTAAAGGGAGAGAGACCACGCCCCAATGGGCTGGTATCTGAGCGGCTATTGGCTGAAGGAGCGGAAGGAGCTCCAATAGCATGAGTACTTCATAGTACTGTTAGCCCCATGAAAAGTCATTTGGTAGTCAGAGCTGTCGATGAGAAATATTGAATAAAGATCCAGACCTTGGATTTAGTAATGTTTCAACAAAAAGTCATCAACTATTTAAATGTAAGGCATAGAGGGGGGAGATGATGGCTCAGTCAATAATGTGTTGACTGTTCAAGCAAGCCTATATAACCCCAGTGCTGAGGAGCCAGAGATGGGGGAGAAGGGGTGTCTGGAGCTCTCTGGCCAGCCAGTCTAGTTAGTTCAATCAGCGAACTCTGAGTTCAGTGAGGGATCCTGTCTCAAGAAATACGGTGGAGAGGGCTGGAGGCCAAGAGCACTGACTGCTCTTCCAGAGGTCCTGAGTTCAATTCCCAGCAACCACATGGTGGCTCACAGCCATCTATAATGAGATCTGGCGCCCTCTTCTGTCATGCAAGCATACATGGAAGGAATGTTGTATACATAAATAAATCTTTAAAAAAAATAAAAGAAGGTGGAGAGTGATCTATGTTGACTTCTGGCATATGTGTGCATATACCCGCACACACCATACATGTATACCCATAAATACGCACAGAGAGAAAATAAAACAATAAAATTAAATTAAAAGGTAAGAATAAGTGCATAACCAAGTACTTTTTTCTGTTTTCCCTGCTAAGTCTTGCCTTCCGTTTTGGACTAAAGGACAGGGCAGGCTTTAAGAAGCAGATAACCCACGTGACATTTCCTTGCATATGAAGCAGAACTCAACACAAGACCTTAGCACTCCTAAGAATGAAGGGGAGCACCAGTGAGGCAGGGAGGGAAGACCATGAGGGGAGGGAGTAAGGAAGGAGTTACTATGCCCATCTGTCCCACTTGGCAGTGTTGGATGGTGGTGCCTGGAGTTATTTTATTTGCTTGTTTTCGGTACGCCTGTCTGGCTAAGCCACCCATTTGTAGTGCGTTCTAGCTTCCCAGAAGTGCTTGCGTCCCCTCAGACGGAATTAAAGAGGTGCCAACGAGAATTTCTCAAATATCCTTTCATTAATTATTGACCATATGCCAAGCATTATTTTAGGAAATGAGCAGAAAGTGAATCTAGGAGCTAGAAATTCAATGTTTCTCAGACTTTGACACACATTTGAATTGCACGCGGATCTTACAAAAGTGCCGTCCACTCTGATTCTGTTCATTTAGGGTGGGGCCGAACCCCATGTTCTGATAAGTTCGCAGGGGTGCTATTCTGCTGGCCCATGGTGCACCCTAGAAAGAGCAGGTGCTGGAGGAAGGGAAAGCCCCAGATTTTCCCTTTTTTCTCCTAGCTTTGCCTACCAGGGTGGGGTGTTGCTCAGTCTGTTGATCAGATTTCAGGAAATGAATTGGTCCACATTTATAAAAGCAGAAACATCAGCCCCCTACATAGTTTAGCTCTTTCTTCTACTTCATTTGGCTGGTATAGGTAAATCGAGTCAGGACCTCCTTTTGGGGTCTGGCTATCTTGCTTTCTCCTCCTCAGGTGCACAATCACCCATATGTTTTATTGCTTGCATTTCTCACCAAAAATGAAGCCATCTTGGTGCCTCGCTCAAGAGGGAAAGCCCCTTGGAAGCCATTGATGTAGGCTGCTGGCCCTAAAAAGAGAATCCCAAACTAACAAATTCGGCATTTACTTAGATGCATGTAAAGTGGTGTTCTGATTTCTCCTCCATAGGTGTCCAGTGATCATGGACCTTCAATCTGCTAGTATCAGACCTTCACCTTTCATCCAGAACAGGCAGGCCATGAGCACACCCCTCAGAATCCCGTGGGTGGTCACACCACTCATGGCAAAACTCATTACAGCTGAGGCAGGCATGGGAGGGGAAGTACTTGGAGGGAAAGAACCATGGTAGCATGCTGCTCCCGCTCTGTACATGCGGCTCCCGCTCCGTACGAGTTTCAGCTCTGTATCATCTCTGGGTCTTGATATTGATTCTGCTTCTTGGAGTCTCTGACTCTTTCGTTGTCCACTGATCTTCGTGTTGTAATAAGGAGAGGCGGCCTGTGTCCAGTCACCCGGCTAGCTTTACCCAAAATAATTACACGGAAACTGTATTCTTTTAAACACTGCTTGGCCCATTAGTTTCAGCCTCTTATTTGCTAACTCTCACATCTTGATTAACCCATTTCTATTAATCTGTGTAGCATCAGGAGGTGGTGGCTTACTAGGAAAGGTCTTAACCTGCGTCCACCTTGGAGAGGAGAGCTATAGGGTCTGCCTCATTACCTTCTTCCTCCCAGCATTCTGTTCTGTCTACTCCACCCAACTATGTTCTGACCTAGCAGGCCAAGCAGTTTCTTTATTAATTATCCAATGAAAGCAACAGAAATACAGAAGACCCACCTACATCATCTTCAAAGCCTCTTCCTTTTGCAGACTCATCCTGGAGTGGGCACACCTCCTAAGGCTATGGCTGGTTCTTTGTGGTCTCTTCCTTCAGTTCTGCTTCTTGAGCAGACACAAGACAGATATTTGAACCTCGTTCATTCAAATTGAAGCTTTTCAGGGTTTGATCACATGCCGACCAAACCAAAGCTATTTTGAGGATGCTCTGCTAATTGCCCCGAACTTCACAATTTACCTGAGAAGAATGATAGCATCTCCACCATCTGTTTTCATCCATATGTAAGACATAAGTCATTACATTCCATTTTCAGCATGGGGTGCGTGTGATGATCATCAGAGGATCACAGAGGAGCAGGAGACACTGGGCCCCTGTCTTCCCTGGTTAGCAGCTGGCACCTGCCCTGTCTGCTCATCCCAGGGCTGAGCAGTTTCAGAGTCTGCCACATGACTCAGCCCCTGTATTGAAAAATGAAGGAGTCTCAAGCCCCAGGATATTATATATTAGATGAAGCCTTGCTTCCTGAACCAATAGGATGGGGGAGTCTGGAGAAGGAGAAATCCTAAACCCAAAGAAGCCCATACCTCCGTGAAGAGATTAGCCAATCAGGAATTCAGGAGGCAGAGAAATGCGGTTAGGAATAGAAAAACAACTGTTAAAGCCAAATTGACGCGCCAGATATTTTCACCTTTTAGCCAGACTGAGGCCCAGAGTCTGAAGAACTGAAAATAAACCTGTCTTCTATTCAGTGCTCTGAGTTCCCGGGACTCTTATTATGAAGCAATCAACATTGTTTCTCAGAATAATCTTCAAATATTCTACTATAGAAAATGTGGGCGGTGGTGGTGCAGGCCTTTAATCCCAGCACTAGGGAGGCAGAGGCAGGCGGATCTCTGTTAGTTCGAGGCCAGCCTGGTTTACAAGAGCTAGTTCCAGAACAGCTAGGGCTGTTACACACAGAAACCCTGTCTCGAAAAAAAAAAAAAAGTGAAGTTTTTAAATTATTAAATTCTTTCATATCTAGACGTAGTTAGTGTACATTTCATATTTTAATTCATGTTACTTTCTCCCCTCTTCAGACTAATAACATATCTCCCTATAATTTCATAATTACTTCACCAAACTGTGTTTCGAAAAGTAAGATCCCTCAGCCCTCCCTCCTCTCTCCTAGCCACCCAATCCACTTCCCAGCCTCCTTGTCTCCATTGTCAATTATGCTCCCTCTTGGGGGCCTTGATATTCATTACTTAGACCTGCTAACAACTGTCCTTAGGAGACTCTTACTTCCCCTCTGCTGTGAGTCTGGGAGAACTGTCAATCAGTGGTACCCTCTCACTGCCTGCACCCACCCCATCCTCATTGCTGGCCCCTATTCTAGATAGAGCCAGTACCATTACTTACTTCCTCTTCCTGTAGTTCAGGGAGGGCACACAGGTAAGGAAATCCCCCAAGCCTTAGGTGCTGAGAGGAAGCTCACTTTCCGTTTGGAATACTGTAGGGGAGACTTCCGGGCTGAGGACTCCTCTCGCTTAGCCGCCTGAGCAATGAGGAGAAGAAGCAAAGAGGGGGGTGAGAGGCAGAGCTCGAGGGATATCCGTTAGGTGCTAAACTCCAACTGTTTGGAATGCTGTATCCACCCATGGGCTTCTCGGGTAAGCAAACCAATGCATTTACACTTAAGTTAGTTGGAGTTGTTACTTCCGACACAGAAATATTGCTTGGGGGACGGTCCTGGATGTGCAAGCTCGCTTCCACTTTGAACATGTTCCAGCCCTGTATCAGACACGTGTCTTGCTGCTGTGATAAATACTATTTTAAGATACTGTGCCTTCCAGGAGATTTTTGATGACTCAATGCTACAAGATCAGATGCAATGATTCTGTAAAGGTAAATGGCAGACCAATGTAGTGCTAATTGGAACTTTTTACTTGCAGATCCTATACTGGCAGCACCCTGTTTGGTCTACACTGTTTGCATGTCAGCTCCTGTGTAGATTCCTTTTATTCTTTCATTTTTCGCAACTTTATGTGAAACTCTGACACTAAACCAACAGTGCCCACTAGGTTTTCTAAACCACATGCACAGCACAGATACACAACACACAGACATGCACACACACACACACACACACACACAAATACATGCCTTTGTTTTCCCTACGGAAGCGCTAGAAGGTCGGAGCAGTTGTCTGTAGCCATATGGCACACTGCCTCCAAATTAGGCTTAAAATTATTGTTTATTATTTTGTAGCAACCCACAGTTTCTGTAGGAGATTTTTATTTAGATAGTTTTGGTTAAACTTTTTTTTTCATTTTGTGTTTTGCCGTGCGGGAGAGTGAACCTGAGGTCTCATATATGCTAGACAAGTGTTCTTGCATTGAACTGCATCCCCAGCCTAAGGTCCTTGTAAGGAGCCCCAGGTGACTTTCTGCCTGGGACTGAAGTTGTCTCAAGTTGTCCTCTGCTGGAGAAAATTCTGGCCCAAGTTTTGTACCCCACCCCCCACTGACCTTAAACCTAACATATTGGTACCTCACCGTGGGTTCTTGGGTGTCTTGGTGTCTTTCCCTGTTCTATGACAAAGTGTCTATCTTAGTTAGGGTTTCTATTGTTGTGAAGAGACACCATAGGCATGGCAAGTCTTATGAAGGAAAACATTTAACTGGGGCCGGCTTACGGTTCAGAGGTTTCGTCCATTGTCATCATGGCAGGAAGTATGACAGCGAGCAGGTAGACATGGTGCTGGAAAAGGAGATGAAAATTCTACATCTGGATCCACAGGCAGGAGAGAGAGCGAAAGCGAGAGAGAGAGAGAGAGAGAGAGAGAGAGAGAGAGAGAGAGAGAGGACTCAGGGCCTGGCTTGAGCATTTGAAACCTCAAAGCAGTGATACACTTCCTCCAACAAGGTCACACCTATTCCAACAAGTCCACACCTCTTAATATTGTCACTTCCTATGAGCCTATGGGGACTATTTCCAAACCACCACAGTACCCCAAAAAGTAACTTAAGAAATAATTTTTGGGGGTACACAATCCAGTTTATAGTCCATTACATCACTGTGACCTAGGCTAGCCTGGAACTCTCATGGCTGAAACCTCTACTTCACCAGTGTTAGGATTAAAACCATGAGCTATCACACTGGCCTCTAGATTGACTTTACTTTTGAACTGTCCTGATTCCAGGATTAAATCCTACCTGGTTGTGGTGTATAATCTTTTAAATGTGCTGCGGGATTCCAACTGCTACCATCTTATTGAATAAATTGGCAAGACTCTTCATCCTTGCTATCAGGCTGTGGTCTTCTGGTGAGTGACAGGGTAGCAGTAACCTCACAGGGTGATCTTGAGTTGTCCCTACCTTTCAGAAGACTGGTCACCCCTTACGTGTCTATTGGGGTTCTTTATCGAAACCATCTGGTCTTGATGGTGTCTTTTACATGATTGGTCTTTCTGTTTTCACTGATTGGAGAGTCAGTGTTAATACAGTGCAAGCTTCCAGGATCTACCAGCTTTGCTAGCCATGCGATCCGTGGACATGGGATTGTTGATAGCATTAGAAGCTTTCTCATTTCTGTGGCATTCACGTCCGACTGACATAAACAACGTAGCACAGGATTTATTTGGTTCACGGTTTCGGAGCTTTTGGTCTGTGGTCCTTCACTCCCCTGACCCTCGTCTGTGGTGCAAGGGCACACGTGGCAGTGGAGTGTGTGGGAGGACCACTCACCTCATGGTCCCAGGAAGCGGAGAGAGAGGACTTATGTTCATGTTCTTCGATCCACACATGCTCTAAGCTCTAAGTGGTTCTGCTGGTGATATGGTTTAATTTTCTTGTCTTCTTTGATGTATCTTCTACAGATATTTTCTTTTTGTTACCTTATTGCCTAAAACAAAGTTATAGCATTCAAGCTTAGGTCGCAGAGAGCTTAATTTCAGTTGCATTCCAACCGTTGTTTTGCAGCTCCGCTTTCTACAGATGTTACCGATGTCGCAAGTTGCATCCCGAATTGTATACACTGTATCTTCACAAACTGCTTACCCATTAACATAGAATTGTCTTTTGTCCTCCTTATATGCAGTAATTACCCCCTCCCACTCCCTCTCTCTCTGCACTGCTAGGGATTGGGCCAGGTCTTCTACAGGTAAGGCAAGTTCTTGTCACTGAGTGACATTCTTCTGCTCCCCACCTAAGAAACTGGAGTCAGAGACACCTATGACTTGCTTCCCGAACTGTCTTTGGCTTTTTTTCATTCTTCCTTTGTGTTTCTGAAATGTGATCTCTTCGGATGATCTGGCTTCCAGTTTTTAAGTTACTTCTTCTTCACCAGTCTGCTATGGGACCTACATAATAACTTTTCAATTCGGTCATTCTGTTATTAAGCTAAAAAAAATCTTCTTTTTACATCTTTTTTATAGTTTACATTTCTTTGTTGTTATTTTCACTTGACTTATGCATAACCTTCCTAATTTTATTCATTTGCTTATTTTCTCTTTTGGCTTTTTGTTTGTTTGTTTGTTTTGTTTTTTAAAGATAGAGTCTTATCATGCAGCTCAGAAAGGTCTTTAATTCCTCGCAAAGTCCAGGATTGATTACAACCTTTTAGTTCATTGGATATCTTTATGGTTTTTTTTTGTTTGTTTGTTTGTTTCATTTTGTTTTGTTTTTAACTTTCTGAGTCAACTCAAATATTTTTGTGGAATTGGTTTCTGGAGTTTTCTTTTTATCTTTTGATTGAGCCATTTTTCCTAATCTTCATGCTTTATAAGTTTTGGGTCTATATTTGGACATTTTAAAAGCAGCTATTTGTCTTTGGTTTTATGCATCAGAAGACCTTCAGTTAGCCCTGGAGGTTCAAGGACGTCTCAAACCTTTTCTATTCTTTTGCTCCCCCTGGTGTTGGTTAGGAGAACTGCAGCTTTGGTCTGTTAGCGTTTGTATTTCACTGGTGGTTCTGGTGGTCATTGCCGCACCTGTAGGCAGATGTGACAACAACCAGGCTCTCGGATAGCCTCCAGATAAAGCAGGACACTGAATGCATGGTTGTCTTGTTTCCATGTCGAAGAGCCTCGGAGTGCGGGTTTCTTCCCGGTCTGCTCGGCACTGCGCCATAGAGAGGAAAAGACAGACAGGATGCCGGTGCCAAATTGCTACATTTTTTTTTTTCTGAAATCCCTTCTTGGTTTTATGATGACCGGCGTCTCTCTGTGTGTGGCTTCTCAGCTTGCCTATTAATACTCTCACTGTGGTATTATTCTGCCTCATGTATTGCCACTTCGGTGCCTCTGTGAGGGAAAGAAGACAGTTTGCCAATGTACCATTTGCTGACATCGCTGTACTTCCTAGTGCCTGGCAGGTACCACGTGCTTCCTTTGGTGGCATGAAATTGGAACTGGCAGGCTAAGGTACTGATGAGGCATTTCAGACTCAGTGAGAGAGACTGGGCCTCAAGTCATACTGACCACAAATGCTTGAATCACAAGGATCATTCTTGTCCTCAGATGACAATGGCTTGTGGCCTTCTAACCCCGGTGCTCCCAGAGAAGGGCAGACTTTATTTGCCTTCTTTTAAATCTAACATCTCTTCAAAGTTGCAAAAGCACATCTGGATGCCTGCAGGCTCTGCTGCTGCTGCTGCTGCTACTGCACAGCTACTGCACAGCTACTGCACAGCGACTGCACAGCGACTGCACAGCTACTGCATAGCTACTGCACAGCGACTGCAGAGCTACTGCACAGCGACTGCACAGCGACTCCACAGCGACTGCACAGCGACTGCACAGCGACTGCACAGCGACTGCACAGCGACTGCACAGCTACTGCACAGCGACTGCACAGCGACTGCACAGCTACTGCACAGCGACTGCAGAGCTACTGCACAGCGACTGCAGAGCTACTGCACAGCTACTGCACAGCGACTGCACAGCTACTGCACAGCGACTGCACAGCGACTGCACAGCGACTGCACAGCGACTGCACAGCTACTGGCCAAGACCATCATTTTTATTCACTCCCTGTCCTTAAAGCCGGTCACTGTCCACCCCGTCTATGCCACCGAGCTGTAGTAGGCCCAGCACTGCAGAGTGCATCTGAGAGAGAGATACTGGGGTTTGAGGGTGGGGAGGAGAGGGGCAAGAAATGCACACAAACCAGCCAGACTTTTATCGGGAATGTAAAATACTTGACTTGACAAAGCTAGAACTCTAGGGTTCTCTGAATTTCTCCAATAAAGCAGTCTTCAGGCTCTCTGGTAAGACTCCTAAGGCTAATGCTAAATAAGAAAAATGTGAAAGTACACATTCTCCCACAAGGTCTCTGGCCACACGCTCTCCTACCCCGCAGTCCTAAGGAGGATTTATTAGTTACTTCCCTTCTTTCTTCACCTCTCTCCTCACCCTTTCCTTCCAGTAAGTAATTTACACTGGAGTTGATAGGTTTGTTCTGTCTTCACCAAATGCCATCTGCACTGGGAAGAAAAGGTGCTGCCCTGTTTTGACCTGGCTGTTATTTCAAGTGCTGCATTAGTAGACCCCATATTGGTGTGGAGAATAGGGGAAGGCCCAGAGCAGAATGCAGACTCCGAATGAATGCATAGGTCCTTAGTTCAAAGTCATTGGCAGTATTGAGACCTTAGAGAAAGGACACGGTAAAAAAGAAAAGCAAGTGTGTTACTCTCTAAGTCTCTTGCCTGCTACCACAGAGACTCGTTGACTGGGCGGTGCATTTAGGATTTCTTAAAATTCCTCCATTTTTATTATTCCACTATGGTTGTCTCCTTTGTGATCTGACCAAGGGAGGTAGGGGGAACCCTTTTGTGTTTTGTCCCCGTAAATTTGAAGTTCCTCCTGAGCCCTAAGATGATTGTTCAGTTATTATCGTGTTTCTAAGAGCCCAAAGAAGGGAGAAAGAAGATATTGCCTCGTGCATCTGAAGCTCCTGACAAGAGCACCTTCTGCTACTCAGAAGTCACTAGATTATGCAGTGGGAGCCTGGCCCTAGCCTGCAGCTGCTTGTGTTTGCCTCCCCTCTCCACCTGCCTCCAATGTCGAGCCTTGACAAGAAACTTGGAAGATGATAAAAGTTCCCAAGATTAAATATCCTAAAGACAAGAGCAGCATAAGCATTTGAAACTGTATATTCACACATGTATGTGTGTATACATATGGTGTGTGTGTATGTGTTTATGGAGGTTAGAGGTCGATGCTAGGTATCTTGTTCAATCACCCTCCAACTTGCTGATTGAGAAAGAGTCTCTCACCGAATCTGGGGCTCATTGATTCTATTAGTCTTGTTAGTAAGGATTCTGTCTTCACCTCTGGATTGCTGGGATTACAGGTGGGTCACCTCATATGGTGGCATTTACGTGGATTCTAGGAATCTGAACTATGGTCCTGATGGTGTAGGAGGGTCTTCTTTCTATGTGTTGCTTTCATTGGTTGAATAAAGAAAACTGCCTTGGCCTTTTGATAGGGCAGCCCTTAGGTGAACGGAGTAGACAGGACAGAATGCTGGGAAGAAGGGAAGTGTGGCAGACGCCATGAATCTCTGCCCCGAGACAGATGTAGGTTAGAATCTTGCCAGTAAGCCAGTCACGTGGTGATACACAGATTTAATAGAAATGGGTTAATCAAGATGTGAGAGTTAGCCAATAAGAGGCTAGAGCTAATGGGTAAGGCAGTAATTTAATTAATACAATTTCCATGTAATTATTTCGGATGTAAGCTAGCCAGGCAGCGGGACGTGGCCCACTCCTCCTTCATACAACAGTCCTCATGCTTGTCTGCCACGTGGCAAGCACTCTACACTCCCCCAATCATCTCCCAGCCCTACAATTTTAACTGTTTATAGGTAGTGAAATGCAGTAAGTTCATAGAACACATGCAAATGGATGAACCTTCGAATGGGTGGTAGGCGTGGAAGGGGGACTTCACTGGCCACCAACTGAGGCATGGTGATTAACACTGAGTGAGGTCTCCAAAAGTATTTTTTTCCATGCTCAAATCCTGGCTGTGCCACTAAGCACCTGTGTGCATTCAGCGGGTAACGTTTGTCTTTACGATTTCAATGTTTCCTGTGCTAAAAGTAAGGGGGTGGGGCTGGGGCTGGGGCTGGGGGCGGTGGTGAGATGGCTCAAATGGGTAAAGTGCTTGCTGTACAAACATGACAACCTGAGGCCAGGTCCTCAGTGCTCCCAACAATTGAGGACATATGGCATGGAAATAGGTGGGTTGTGGGAGCTCACTGCTGATCTACCAAATCAACCAGCTTCAGGTTCAGTGAGAGTCCCTTCTCAAAAAATAAGGTAGAGAGTGACTAAGGAAAGTACCCAATGCCTCCTCTCGCCTCCACTCCCAAATTCACACATGTACACATCCATACCCACCTGTATGCACACGCACACACAACACACACACACACACACACACACACACATGCCAGTAGTACTTAATTCATAAAAGTACTTAATTCATAAAACTGTTATGTTGTGGAATATTGTTTTAACTAGGCAAAGATGTGTTGCATTTGTTTATGCTGTGGAATATTACTTTAACTGTGTAAAGATGCGCTATGTTTGTTTATGCTGCATTTGTTTAATTATGGAAAGATGTGTTGCTGTTTCACCTTGCCTGTCTAGGGCACCTGATTGGTCTAACAAAGAGCCAAATGGTCAATAGCTAGGCAGGAGAGGGATAGGTGAGGCTGGCAGGGAGAGAGAATAAAAAGGAGAACCCTTGGCTCAAGAGAGAAGATGATGAGGGAGAAAGAGAGGAACACACCTGGGGCCAGCAGCCAGGCAGCCACCAGACAGACGGGGAAGAAGCAGGAAAAGTGTGGCATACAGAAAGAAAAGTTAATGAGCCTCAAGGCAAAAAGTAGAGGAAGAGAAGCAGGTTAAGTTATAAGAGTTAGCAAGAAATGATCCTAAGCTAAGGCAGAAAATTCATAACTAATAAGAAGTCCTGTGTCGTGATTTGGGAGCTGGTTGGTGGCCTAAAAGAAAGCCTGGTGCACTGTAAGGAAGATATGACAAAATCCTTTTTATTAAGTTTTGTTGAATACATTGTTAGTGAATTGTATTTATTGAATTTCTGGGGCATAATAAATAATTAATTAATAAACAAATTAGTGTTGATGCCTTACGCTCTTGTATCCTCTGACAGGGTCGTTGTGAGGCCCACATGAACAACACTGTCTGAACTTTATGCTTGTCAAGTGGGAGGCTGTAATTCAGCCACAGCTGTGATATGGAGAGGTTTGTCGCAAACAAAAAAACCCTTTGGTACTCTCTAAAGGGGGGCCAGGTTGTTTCATAGTGGTTAAATTTGAAGGACACCCACTAAAGTTTGAATGTAAGACAATTTTAAATACCAGACAACATTTAGGCCAAGGATTACCACCATTCTAGTCACCTGGCCCCCAGGCGGGGAGCCTTTCCTTCCACAGTGATGAAGCAGCTCAGGGAAGTCTGTGTGTGACTGAGGCAGCTGGAAAGAAAGGAAGGGCTTATGTATCGCTGTAGTCCAAATATCTGCGAACGCAGCCTGTGTAGTGATCGTACTGAGGATTCTTCGTGGAACAGTGAGCAGCAGGCTAGAATGAAGACAAGTCAGGATGGGTTAGAAACCCATAACAAACATTCTCGGTTTGAGGAGCTCCGCATCAGCCCAGTGGTCTGGGAAGTCAGAATGACACACACAGTCAGCTCATATCCATTCTAGGATGATGAAAGATATGCACCCAACCTAGCCTTCTCTTGTGTGTTTTTCATGACTGGCGCTCCATTGGATGGTCAAGGGCTGCTAGAGCATGAAGCTGATGTGTGGAGTTTTCTTAGACAGAGGTCTCCAGATGACATCGTCATGTAGATGATCCACGTCCACTTCAAACACAGCACACTCAAGACCCGACTCTCCTGCCAGATTGATACATACCTGTTCTTTGTGACAGATAGAGACTGGGTAACTTATAAACTTCAAATGCCCACAGTTACGGTGGCTGGAATTCTAAGATCAAGACACCTATAGGTTTGGCACGTGGTGACAAAGACCTGCTCCTTGCAGCAAGATGGTGTCTTGCTTGGACACCTCTACATGACAAAAGAGTACCAAACA